GCTGAGCTGCCCTTCTGCCTCCCAAATTGCGTTGAAATATCGCTAAACCGAGGGTAATTAGTGCAGCAGTAGGCTTGTGAAGGTGATTAATTGGAGATGCGTGAGGATAACGGGTAATGAGGGGATGTCAGTGGGGCGGCGCAGTGCAGAGTGAGATACTTGGTGCTCCTCCAGCTGCTGCAAAGAATTTAGAGGTGTCCGAATTTGGTTTCTGCCCCAAAATGGGGGGTGGTTCCCAGCTGGGAGGAGCACCGGGCCCAACCTGTGCTTTGGAGTCCCCACGCAGCGCCAGCCTGCTTCCTCAGCTCGCGGTGCTGCTTTCCTGTGAGAAAACAGGGATCTGTTTGAATCCTTTGTCCAGGTGACCCCCCAGGGGAGCCAGGATGGGAAGAGCCCCCGCGTCGGCTCGCACCCGAAGAAGAGGAAGCGGCAGATGCTCCCCAAACCCCTCCTCATCCCCCCCCTGCCGCCCCCCGAGGCGCAGCCCGGCCCTGGGGGCTGCTTCCGCAGCAACCTGCGCTCCCCGCTGCTGCTGATGGACCGCCTGCTGCGGGACCTGCTGCAGTGCTCGCCCTACACCCCGCCGCCCATGCTCAGCCCCATCCGCCAGGGCTCGGGGCTCTACTTCAACGCCGTCTGCTCCTCCGCTGCTGCGGAGCCTCGTTGGCTCCTTGGCAGCGTGCTGGGTAAGGATCGGCGCTGGGGCTGCAGCCGAGCAGCCCCCAAATGGCACCGCAGCGCCTGTGGGTCGGGGTGGCTTCTGCTGTGCTCCGTGCTCTGCCTCTGGGGGCTTCGGGGTGAGAACCGGCCCTGCTGCCCCCGGCTCTGGGCACGGCCTTGAGAAGGGCTTCCAGATGTGAGTCCCAGCTGTTAATCCCCGTTGTGGGCTGTGCAATCTGTGGGGTTTGGAGGAGCGAAAGGTGATGTGAGGTAATTAGGGGCTGCTCGGTCCCTGCGGGGCTTCCTGGCTGACGCTGGGTGGTTCCTGGCATTCCCTGGGATGAGGGAACTGGGGGAGAGGAGCGCTGTGCCGAAATGGGAATAGAAATGGAGCGAGGCCCTGGCAGGGCTGCGCTCATCCTGCTGGTTTTCACACCTTTCAGACAGGATGGACCAAGACTTCGGGCTGTGCCTCATGAAGGACGGCACCAAAATCAGCATTGAGCCGTGAGTTACAAGGCAGAGCCGTGGGAAACGATGGGGAAGCGCGCCCTGAGCGTGGCTCCCCCTCTTCCCCAGCCCTCCCCACGCCCTGCTCTGCAGTCGGGACAGCAGTCCGTCCCCTTTCCTCTGCTTATGGGATGCGTCCACTCCAGCTCACCCTCACCCCCCTCCCCCGTTTCTCCTTCAGCCACATCAAC